ATTATTTATGCCAGAATGATTTTTTTCATATTCTCTGTAACGTTCACGCACATATTTAAAATAAACCAAAAAAAGTTATGTTATTACTTTAATGCCATGCCGCTTTAATACTTTTAAAAAGTAATCCGATGATGTATTTCAGATGTTTTATTTGAAAAATAAACATACATGATTGTAGATATTGGTTTTACAAAATGATAGTCATCATAGAAAAGTTTTAAAAAATCAGTAATAGTATCTTTTAATTTGAATTACTACATTTAACACAAACATATATTGTACAATCGGACGTTAGTTTCTGAGTCAATAATATATCACATATACCGGTTATCTGCTGTTTAAGATCAATAGAAACTAAATAATTTCATTTTAATAATCGAGCGGTTAGATAAACTTTGGTAATATGCGTTATGTATATGAAAAAATAATTGTTACATTACGTTACAAATAGTTATGTAAATGTATATTATTTAAAACAAAATCACATGGATTGCTATGGACAATCAAAATTTAGAAAATCCATTTGATTTATAAACGAATCGGAAGTGAAAAATAATTGTACAATAGTACAAATAGTTCTATAAAATTGATATAACTAAACCAAAGGCACGATTAGAAACATCTTATACTGATTAGTTTCATTTTATATTCCTAAAAAAACGTTTGGTTGGTTAGAAACAATATTACATTAAAAAAGATAAACGATAAAAGTTCATCGAATGTTAGATTGATTGATAACTTATATTGTTTAAATTAAACAAAAAGTAACAAAAAAGTAATATAATTTGAGTCAAGGTTATAACCAAAAAAATTTTTTTTTGGTTGTTCAGTGGGTAAATATGTATTTTAACTAGCAAATTTTAAAATTTTAAATTTAATAAGGATTTAAAACCACTTAATTTTATTTAAAAAAAAATTTCGAAGGGTCTGAACCCTAACTTCTTCCTAGTTACGGTCTTAATTTGTAATATATAATATTACATATTACATATTATATCACGTACTAGATACGCACCTATAATATGTCAATATAGATGTTTTAAAAATATTCAAAATATTCCAAATGGATGTGAAAAAATACACAGACCTCATTGTTATAATGCAGCCATTGTGCATCAGAATAGTTATGATTTGAATGTTTTGAAGAATAACAAATTTAGCATCTATTGGTAATAATTAGGCCTCGGATATTGTTGCATTTGCAACTTTTTTTCTATTGCTTGGATTTATTGCTAAGTAGATTTTAAATTTATCTCATGCGAGTACGAATTTATATCTAAAAGTTTTTAGTGCAACTTTTTGCAATTTTGGCCAGTTTTTCAATTTCATTGAATTTTTGACCATTTTTTCTATTTGAATACAATTTTGTTGATTTTTCTCATTTATTGTATATTTTTATATACTTTTAATTTGTGTATAACATAAATTAATTTTTTTTTTAAAGTAAGAGGCATGTTAAAATATATAGTACGTGTTATTTCGAGATTTAGGTAGACCGCCGTGACCGACCTAAGATGCGATAATGCCGCGGTTATTATTAATACCTATATTATTTTCCAGAAACTAATCTAGAAATATTGGGGTAAATATGACGGTATATCGGGACTTTTAGATTATACTTAGTTTTAAGTTTATTATAGAATTTTACTTTAGTCTTCACTTCTTCAGTGTTCAGTCGTTTAATGTCGTCACGTGTTTCGTCGTATTATACGTTTGTATCTTATTATTTCGTATTGACGTCAAAAATGACGAGAAATAAGCAATCAATGTCTAGTGTGTTATAAAAATACGTCAATGAATTTGAGAAAAATGTATTTTCAAGTGATGGATTAGCTCTTTTTTGCAAGTTATGTGAAGTTCGAGTATCTACAGATAAAAAATACATAGTTACACATAATTTAAAAACTGATAAACACAGTCGCGCCATAAATCGCCATCAAAACGCTACAACCTCAAAAGTACAGCAACAACTTACATTTTGTTCAAAAAAATTTATATTTTCCAAAGATATTTTTCAAGCATTATTATCTTCTAATAATCCTCCAAACAAAGTTAAAAACATGGATTTCCGTTTGTTTCTGGAAAAATCTTCAAAAAAAGAAATTCCTAACGAAAGCACTTTACGAAAAAGTTACGTAAATGATATTTAAGTAGAAACTATGAACAAAATTAGATCTAATATTGCGGGAAATAAAAATGGGTTTTGGTGGATGAAACCACCAATGTTCAAGGTAGATATATTGCTAATATTATTATTGGAACATTAGAAATAGACAAACAGGGGAAATTTTACCTATTAAACTCGGAGGTGCTCGAGAAAACAAATCATTCGACCATCACTAAAGTCTCTGACCGGTCGATGTTTCTCCTTTGGCCTGATGGTATACGCCATGATGACGTTATGCTATTCGTCAGTGATGCGGCGCCGTACATGATCAAAGCAGGAACATTAATTGGAGTGCTTTATTCTAAGATGGTGCGTAGCACATGGTGTACATAGAGTTGCTGAGAAAATAAGAGGACGACTTTCAAATCTTGGCAAATTGATTGCCAAGGTAAAACAAATATTTTTAAAATGTCTAGCCCGTGTATTATTTTTCAAAAATAAAGCTCCGACAATACTATTACCTCTCCAGCATATTATAACTCGTTTGAGTACATGGATAAAAGCAGTCTCATATTACTGTGAATATTTTAAAAAAATAAAAAATATCATATTAGAGCTCTATCCAGATGATGCAATTTTAATAAAAGAAACTCAAAAAAATATTAGATGATCCATTGTTGGAGACAAATTTAGTTTTTATTCACGCAAATTATGGATATTTATCTGACACCATAGAAAAATTAGAAACTCAAGGACTTACTTTGGCTACAAGCATTGAAATTGTTAAAAACGTTTGTGACAAATTAAGTTCAGTGTCAGAAATAACAAGAAGTTAATTAATGACAAGTTTAAAAACGTTTTTGACAAAAATAAGGGATTTGAAGTTTTACAAGAAGTATCAAACATATTATCAGGTGACGAAATTGGGGTAAATAAACTGCCAGAAGATTTATCTATTCAAGAATCAATATATTTTAAATATGCAGCTATAACCTCTGTCGATGTGGAGCGTAGTTTTTCCATATATAAGAACTTGTCTTCAAATAGAAGATCTTTTGAATTTGAAAATCTGAAGAAATCCTTTTTCGTGCAGTGCAATCATTTTTGAAGGTATCCAAATATTTATTATATAATAAAATTAATTATTTTTAAATTTTATAAAATTGCTTACAGGTTCCTAAAATATCGAACAAAACCAGTTTGATTTATAAGTTTGTTATATGTATTTTATTTTAAATAGTATCTATTTTTAATTAAATAAATAAGGCTATAGCATACTATAAAATTCGTAATTCTTAAGAGTAAAATGTTATAAGTGTATTACTAAAAACCATTAATAAAAACAAATTTTAAGCGCAATTTTTAAGTGTAATTTTGGGTATTTTTTACTGCAATAATGCAATCAATTTTAAACGTTTTTTAGTGCAATAATTTCCGAGCCCTAGTAATAATTTATGTTATTAAAATTCATAACATCTTTAATTTAAATGCTCGAAGCTTGTGAATTTGATATAAGATTTTTCACAAATTTATTTGCTTATGTGACTTATTGTCAATTATCAAAAATATTTTTATTGATTTTAAATTATCGTTCTATTTCTCAAATTTGTATTATTAGTAATAATGTATGGTTCATATTTTTTTTTTTTTATTTAAAATGCTGGATATAATTTAAGACAATATCTTAATAATACATTTGGAAATCTTCGGATGAAAACGTATGATTTGGTATCATAGCAGAGGCGGTTTATGAGAAGCCACAAGGTGGGGGTGAATTATTTTGCATATACTTACAATTCGCATGCATATCCCATTTATTTTTTCCTATTGCTCAAAATATGAGAAGTAATTTTAAGTTCTATAAACTTTATACCACAATGGCATAATATAAAAATATAGGCATCAATAAAAAAATTAAAAAAAAATTTATTTTTATTCAAACTTATATAACGTTCAAACTTATAGGATCAAACATTTTTGTAAACAGTAAACAGTTTTAACATACAATTATCGCCAAAACGATTTTTATTAAACTGTTTGCTCATTCATAGTTTTAGTTTTTACACGGCTCTAGAGAGGGTCCACCTATCTCCTCTCCGAGCCCCCCCCCTCTTAAAATCACCGCTATATCATGGTCTGCATCTTCACCTGATTTAATACCATTTGATTTATTTGTTTGGCGATATTTAAAATTTTTACTTCATGCTAACCTACTGAATAATCTCCATTGTTTAAAACAGTAAATGACAAATTAAATAGATTACGGAAGCTAGGTATTCAAATGACGTCAAACAACGTTTAGAAGTATGTTTATGAGATTTAAAAGATGATGATGAGTATTCTGTGCCATAAGTTGTTTAAAATAAAAATAAAAATTGAACCTTATTTAAATAACCTTTACAGTTACTTCTTCTGTATAACCCTTTTCAGTCATAATTAACTGTCTTATAAAAAAATACAGACAATTTAAATATTTTTCAACTTTCACTCACTATAAACGAGTCAATTTCTGAAGTAGGAAAATAATTTATTTATAAAAATTCTTGAAAAATGTGATCTTTTCCGAATCTGATGTTGAAAATACCTGTTGCTATAAAAAAAATTCAATTTTTTTGCGTATGCGTTAGAAATTTGAAATTTGTCAAAAATGTGTATTTTAATATTTCCTATCTCCCATTTCAATCTGAAGTCACCGAATGAAAAATATATTTTGTTATCATTTTAGTGAAAAAACATATTGCATATATTTAATAATCATGTGTCTAGATTATGAACACTTATCAATTGCATAATTCAGTTGTTATGAAATGTATCTGTTCTATGCAAGCACCACTATAGTGTATAAGAAAATAAAATAAATATGTTATAAGTTAGTATGTTTAATATACAGTATTTAATAACATAGGCGATTCATCAATATTTCATAGCATATCCGATTTCTTAAATTAAGCATGTCATCTTGAGTAAAATTCAATATTGAATCACGAGCTAAATACTCAGCATTGATACATGTGAAAACACCGCAATCGTATCCATTAAACTGTGCTGGACAATCATCTGCATGCATTAATTGCCATCCACTTACGTCAAATGTTTTGTTTTTCTTGTTTTCATACTCTTCTTTTAAGTAATCGAAAATTACATTCAAACATTTGGGATTTTTCCCGCCAAAACTATCATAATATTTTACAGTCTTATCAATAAAGTTTACACAAATAAGACACCAATGATTGCCCAAGTGGATGGGAATGAACATTTTTTTGTATGCAAATATATCTTTTCGCTTGGACCACCGACGAACAGATTGGTATCCTTGAGTTCTGTAAAAAATATTATTAATAAATTACTAAAAATAAATACCTACTTGTAAATAATTAAAGCACAAACTTACGATAATTTTAGATAGAAGAATGTATCGAAGAAATGTAAATTATCAGGATCACGATCAACAATCATCCTTAAATAATGATTTATAATTTCATCATTTAACCAAGCTGTTGGTGAATATACAGTTAGCAAGTCGCTCTTCTTAATATTATGTTTCTCTTTCATAATATATTCATTTTGAGGTCTAGACATTAAACGAATAATTGTGTCTTGTATTTTTTTATTATAATTTGGAAAAATTTCATTTTTCTTTGGAGACTCAATTTTCATAATCTTATTTTTTTCATGATCAAGTTTATGTTTAGAAATTATTTCTTGTGTAATAATAATTCTGTTTTTCTGAATACTTGTTTCTGGCTTCTCCACATTTTCTTTATCAGATGATTGGGACAAGTTAGTCTGACAATATATATCATGAATAGGCATGGTAAGGGGACTGGTAACTCTGAATGGTGTAGTTTCAGGTTCAGTGATGTCCTCATATATTTCAGATAATGAATCATCGATAATTTCAATTACTTCTACAACATTATCATTCATCCGTGCTCTTTTATGATTCATAATTTCATAATTATCGTTCTTACGTTTTTTCGATTTATTGAATTCAGATGTTTCATTTCCATTCGTGAACCGTTTATTTAGATTCCGCATTAAATTTGAGGAATCCATTACCTACATACGTAAATATAACAATATAAAATATAATTATAATATGTTATGCAAGCAAATACTCACTCCTTGCACTATTAGGTGTACTTGCAGTTATAAATTATAATTCAATATAACAATTAAATATAATTCATGGATGTTCGCACAAAATACAAAAGACAAGTCCGTTAGTTAACAAATGTTATCCAAAACAAAGTGATGTCACTAAAATAAACACGACAGTTTCTATAGAAATCACATAGTCCTTTCGTTATCAATAGTCGAAATGCTTATTTTGCAAAACTATCGATATCAGACTGATTTTTAATACTAATTAATTTGGTATAACCGTTTTAAGGAGTATATCGAAAGATTTGTATGACTCTTTGATAAAAAAATACGTAAAAACCGGTGGTTTTTGAGTCTACAACTCTCAGATACACCAACGTAAGTAATATATAGATCAATTTAAATTTAAATTTATAAGCATAACATCCTTTCTCAGATCATGATTATGATTATAACATTAAATATTAATACATTTTTACCAAGCTGTAATGAAGTAAACTATTTGGCCAAAATGTTTTTTTTATATTTTCTTGGTCAAATTGAAAATATATTTTCAATGATCTCTAAATAGAACAAAAAAATTTAGAACGTTTAAATGTTTATCATATTAATAAAACGATAATATTATCATTCAGTGAACATTTTAAGTTTTATTTTTTTAAGTAACTGAAAAAAAAATTGATTTTATCGAAAACTGAAGTACGCCGTAAATGTTTTTTAACGTCAGTTTTTTGCAATTATAAAAACGAACCTCTGGGAAATTTGTAAAATTATAATTAAGATTTTTTAACATGGACTCCGATCATCAAAAATATATTTTATGGTTATACAATAAATATTTTGAAGTTTAAAATAAACGTAAAATAATTAAATATTTTTTTTTTTGCCGGATCATTTAGTTTCTCATTGATTTTACACGATCAATAGCCATAATGACCAAGCAATTTATAACGATTCTAGAATATAATAATTGTATAGTCCACATACGAGTATTAAATTATCAATTCGAACATACTTTTAATTAAAACATACAAGATAATAGTACACATGTTAATGAAACAATTTTTTTTTCGTGTAGAAATCTCATACATGTTCATTATAAATATTGAAAATAAGACCAGGGGGATGATATCTCGTCAATTTATCAAAAACAATTGATCGCTTGACCATTGCTTGTAAATGACAATTGATCGAAGAGAAATTGCTATCAAAATAAAAATTATAATATTAATATAATATTTATTGTATTTATCATACTTAAAAATAAAATCAATTAAAATTTCTAAATAGGACATAAAACGAATAATTAAATTTGCAATTGATGATAGGCTAACCAACGTAGAAAACATGAATCGACCTTTGTATTTGAGTTTTTTTACTTTTGGAGCATTTCCAATACGTTTTTTCGTTATACATTTTTTCCTGTATATGTAAAAACCCTATATAGGCTAATATTCTTTTATTTTTTCCACTATTTAAATATACTAAACTCATAATGGAAAAAACATAAAACGTATCAAAAGTATTTGAAGTACGCTGTAATACTGATCTCAATACAATCTCGGATTTGACATGTACCACATCGATGTACAATATAAAATTACAGCCGATTGAATCCTATCTTGTGTTTATACCTAAGTACAAATTGTATCACATCGACGTTCGATATAAAATTATTATCGATGTGACTCGATGGAAACATGAAGTGAGCCGGTCTATTTTTAAAAGGTCAATAATTATATTACTTATTCAGGTTAGCGCATTATCTATCGAGCAACGAATTTGTTGTTTGCGAACAATAATAATTATTATTCTTCGATCTATCGTCCTTCTATGAGCAATTTTTTTTCAATCAAAAGTTTTTGAGCAATTCTAGTGCGATCAATTGACATGTATCCACGGACGAGATATATCTTCTCCTTCTTCATTGCCCCCGTTTCGTCCACTTATGTTGATGTAAGAACTGAAAATAAACGAGCCAATTAAATTGTTCCTTAATTTATACCGAAATATTACAATCAAAAGCATGTTCTGTAAGAGAATACGTTTTCCACGCGACATCAAGTCACTATTAAATGTTAGTATGTATCAGACGGATCATGTATACTGTACTAATCAACGATTCTTCGCATGTTGTTAATTGGTTGTATGTATTAAGTTTTAGTAATGTTTTCTTCTTACGTTGGAATTTCATATTATTCTTTAATGCATTAGTTTCAACGAGTGTATCGTTATAACTTGAACGTTTCTCTGCTACATTTATTTTATTTTTTCTATGACATAATATGAACGGTATCGCATACTTAGATACACAATCTACACAATTTTCCGTGCATTTTTTTTTTTTTATGAGTAATTAATTTTTATCCCTAGCAAACTTAACGCGATCATCGTATCTACGTTATTATTTCACGTAATTCGATCGCGATCGCACGATAACATAATATGATCGGTTGCCGGGAAAAAAGGTCAATGGTTATTCTGATTTTAAGACTAAACGAATTCATAAGATAATTAAGTGTGTACACATGTTGCACGCGTGCGCCACTACAGTTTTGTACGCTACCGGTAGTCAAGGAGGCCGTAAAACATTTGCGCATCGTCTGTTTACCTGTTACGAAATATCGTGTCATATACGCATTAACATACCGAATAATATAAGGGTATAAAATAATATACAGACACAAGTTTTCGTTCAATAAACTTTTACAAATTATATGGTTAAGACAAATTATTTTGTAATCAAAAATTTAAGATTTAAATAGTTTATTATAAATTTGATTATTAGATTAAAAATGAAACGTTCAGAAGCAAGTTATAAATAACGAATACCACTAGAAATTGTTTTAATTATATCAAATGTTTCTGACTGTATTTATTTCAACGTTTCTATTACCTAATTATATGAAACAAAATATATTTAATTAATTTAATTAATAATAAGAATGTATAAAAACTTCATACTTTCCAGATTGAAGGATGATTACAGTAAAATTGTGCATTGTAATGCGAATGAAATGCTTCAGATCCATTAGTAGTTTTGGGTGAAGTTGATGGGGTTTCTGCCTACATCCCTGGTAGAAATTTTAGAAAACAATTTTCTAAAAAAAATTGACATATATGTAATCACTAAAATTCAGTACACCGCTATTGGGTGCGATTTCGATTAACTCACAAAATACATCAAAAACTTCTTCGAGGGAAATAAAAGATTGATCAAAAAAATATTTAATCTATTTTTCTATTTCAGTATTAGCTTTCTACTAATTTCTTAGAGATGGAAAATCTTGCTTTAACTTCCTATACCAAGCTTGTTCTAGATGAAATCTGCAACCATGGAACACAGTGTTGAACTACCAAATGTGCACTCTTTTCGAAATCCACTTTGATCGATTTCAGATCGAACAATAAGAATTACACGAGTTTATATTGCCATATTTCATTATTATTTAAATAATATTGATGCGCAAATGATGTATAACTCGAAAATTTAACGATTTGCAAACGTCTTACGGAAAATGTCAGAATTAACAATAGTAATGCACGAACGAAAACCGACGAAAAAGTTGATAAACGTGTTCTCAGACAAACCCAACTAAAAATCTAGAAAATAACAAGGGTGCCGGCGTTAAATGTCATTCTTCGTCGTGGTTTAACGGAACCGTTGGAGTTCGCGGCGAGAAGATTTCGTTCAAAAGTCGCAGTCGGGGCCAACACTTACGAACAGTGTTGGAACACTTGTACTTGCCGGTAGTCACCGCGTCGTGGTCGGCGGTTGTGAATCAATTCATACAAAACGATGAATTCGATCGGCGCATTTCAAAAGTGGAATGGACGGGTAAAAGTAGTGGTTTGACAAAAATGCGATTGGCACACGGTGTAACTTTCAAGATCGATTATATCTGCTTTTACGTGCACAGGTGACCCACAAAACGACGAGGCGTACACAAACAAACGTACACGCACACGGAGCATAAGTTACGATGGGGTTCGTCGTACATTTACGTCGCCGGTCGTGTCATATAAGCGCGCGAACACGGCCGGCAGACAGACGCGCGGACATAATAGCCGACGACGGGAGCATTGAATGGCGTAAAACGACAAGCGGCCTACACGCGACAAGACGCGTCCATCAATGACCTCGCGCGCGTGCACCGTCTGTATACGTTTCGTATAACAATACGCTCTTCTACCTGTGTTATTTATCAGTAGTCGTTCCCCAACGTTTACGATATGTTTTTTAATTATTATTATTTTTTTTTTTCGTCCCCAAACTCTTTTTATTGGAACATTTAAACGCGAAGGAGACCCCGGCGTGCTATAAATTACGGCTTTTAAAGCTGAACGGATGCTCGACGTTTGACGACGATTGTTCGAGTCGTACGAATATATTAAGTTGCTGACTCGCAGCCACACATCTGTCCGTGTTTTTATCGAGGTCGGTACGAAGAAGTTTCTCGAACAATTGTTCCGCCGGTAGAGATATTCCGGAAGAGCATTGTGAGCTACCGGCGAGAATCGAGTTCTGCCGATTGAAACGTACGTCTTCCGTAACGTATTGATGTCGTCGTCGTTATTTCGAATTATGTAGCGATTATCGTACGAGGACGGAGTGCGCAACAATGATGTCGATGACGTACCGCGAACGCACAGCGGCGAACTTTCTAAGGATTAAAAGGACCGCGAATGAGCCGTGGCGGTTTAGAAAATACCATCGGTTCACCTATAAGTTACGCGTATTGTACATTTAAATTAGTTCATTCGACGGTTTGAGAGTTAGCTGCAGAAACGGACGTTGAACAGTGTACGAAGTGAGTCGATAGCAGTTTGAAATGTAATATGTATATCGTACGTTAATAGATGGATATATTATATCGTTGGTCGGACGGACTGTTGAACCAATACGCATGTCTACGCATATACGAGTGCATCGTATATATATACGCAAAACT